CCCTCCCTCCCTCCACCCCTCCCACCTCCCCTTTCCTCTACCTTGGTCGTCCTGAAATTGAAGTAGGGATCGAACTCGTGAATGACACTCTCGTACCGAACGACGGCGAAGAGACGAATGGCGAAGGAGAGGAGGCAAATCAGGCCCAATATTCCGTAGCGGACAATGACGGGGATGCCAGACAGGTCCTGTGGGTCGGAGGGAGAAAGGGCAGGGGCCACGGGTGAGTCGGAAGAGCAGAGAGAGGCTTTGCATGCAAGGAGGTGATAGATGACAGAGTCGCGCGGGAGATCTATGCTTCCACATAGGGATCTATACGCGGTTTGGGCGTCCCTCAGAGGGAAAGCACGCGGAAGATTCTTACAGCAGATGTCAACGGCACGAAATCAGTCGGACACCCGCACGGTGGTTCTCGTCGTGTGCCCTTCGACTTACATCGTCCCCAACTACCCCTGCGTCGCCTTTTTGCTCCCACTCAGCCGTTTTTGCAGCCATAGATGCGTTCTTAGAATTGGAGAATGCATCCAATAAAGCATCCACACCCGTCCCACTGCTGGCCTGGTGCTTCGACTTCTTTTTATCGTGCTTTGAAGACATGACTGTTGACAATGTGTGGACGCAAAAGAATTCAGAGTAAATGAGAGATTTTTTTTTGTCTTTTTGCTTAGCTACATGAGTTGATAAGAAAAGAGTCGATTAATAAACCGTCACCAATCTGGCTTGGGTGGTCGGCACTCGAAGTCCAAGTTTCTTACGAGAATCGCTCCGACTTTCTCACGAATGTGACGACATTTAATGAATTGTAAAAACATTATTAATATTCTGCTACTCTCTATTTGTATTTATTAAGGTACTATTAATATTGCCCTGCAGATGCATGAGGTGTACAGAGCGATTCGAGGGTAATGGACGAAGAAAGAAGACGACGATTAGGGGTTGATGGCTACCGTATCAAGAAGAACCCCAGGCAGGCAAACCGAGGGCATCGCTCCACGTCACCTCCACGTCCACATGTGTCGCCTCCACGACCCGGAACGCGCAACGACGCATGGCACTGGAGAGGTCGGCTAACAGGTACGTGCGGGCGTGGCTGAAGAAGGCCAAGTTCTTCCTCGCGGAGGCCTCGCTCCTTTTTGAATTTTTTCGGCGAAGCCCTACTCCGAAGGGGTACTTGGCCCCCCAGCCGCTCCGGATGACAGCCTAAATTCCTCGACGATCCCCGCATGTACGGTAATGAGAAAGATGATTGGTGTTGCAACTTATATTCTAGTCGAAACCATGCACAATCCCGAGACAAAGGACCGCGGCCTTGTGTAGCTTGGCGGAGTTGGAAGGCTGTCCGAGCTTATGCTCGTCAAAATCTTGAAATCCAATCCCATGGAGGCTCTCGCTGCCAGCTCTGTTTCCAACTCTTGAATTTGCATCGTTCTTGTTCCTTCTATGCTATTTCATAGCAAAGATATCACCTTGGATGGGACAATCAAGTCAAGAAATCATGTGATTTTTGACATCTCAACCACCATGTTCAGGTACTTTCTGATTTAGAGAAGATAAAAGAATCACGCCTTATCAAGCATATCAATTGCTTTGACATTATCCGGTTGTCATCGCTTGTGCTATTTTTCTCACTTTCGCTGATTTCTTCTTTACTCATGATCCCATTTTCCTTGTCTTCTCTCAAGAGTATCCTAGGCTTTTCTGTCTTCGCTTTCAACGCGACCTCCTGCACTCCTCATGAAATTTTTAACCCCAAAATTCTTAATTGATATCTGCTTGATAAGAATATACTATATGGATACTCCTTACATCAAAAATACCGAGACTTCGGATATATCTCGACACCTGAAATTTTCGCGCCTATTTCCCCCGGTGCTTTACATTCGATGCTATCAAGTTTTTTATAGCTCAATAAAAGTACACAAAAGGATGTAATTTCTCTTGACATTTGAAGCGTTCCTACGCCTTGCTCGCTATCCTCCCCGCGTATCGATGGAAGCTGCCTTCCTCGAACCTGCCACGTCCGTCGCGGCGCCTCCCCCAGCGGTCCATGTTCTCACGACGCTTCAAGATGTCATCATGAATGACATGCGTCTTCTTGCATTTGTGGCCTTGGCCCTCGCTGTCCCCCTTTCCCTCCTTTTTCCCGAACCGGCCTGAGGAATCCTCAAACAGGAACGCCTCCCTTCCATTTTCCCCTTTTCCTTTTCCATTTCCATTTTTTCTTACTCGTTGTCCTCGAAAAAACGGTTGATGTCGTACTCCCCCAGCACGTGCGCATCCCACCCTCTCTCCTCATCTCTTCCCGCCATATCATTCCTTCCTTCACCTACCTCCCCGCTGTTGCCCGTCTGTAAGGCACTCGGGAGACCAGCAAGGGAAGGAACAGCCGGCTCTACCTCCCTCCCTACCTCCCTCCCTACCTCCCGCCCTTCCGCCCACATCATCTGCTTTACGACCTCCTCTTGCTGCCGCCGTAGAGCCACCGGGGTGGGCAAATTACTGGGAGGGGCAGGGACGCTCTCGTTCGCCACCCTCGACTGGCCGTAGCCCGAATAAGGCAAAAAAAGTGGGGCGGGAAGTGGAGCAAATGGAGCTGCCGCCTGCTGGAAGCCAGGCAGCGACGAGCCTGCTGCTCCTCGGGGGAAGCCGCCGCGCCCGTGGTCCGGTTGCCTCCTTCCTTCTTCGTGCCCTCCCCGTGGTTTTACCTCCCACGGTGATTGTGTAGGGTAGGACTGTAGAGAGGACGTGGCAGTGGCAGGGACCGGGAAAAGCGCTGCCCCTCTGGCCGCAGGCATGACCAGAGGGGGTGAGGGCCTCTCCCCTATTTCCCTACCTCCCTCCCGTTCTCCTTCCTGCCTGGCGTATCCTCCATAGCCTGCGCCTGTCCGGCCCACTCGTGGCTGGGGCGGGCTCCGGCTCCCCTTTGACCGACCAAGGTGCCGAGGTCGGGGAACGTAGTCCGAGCATACCAGGTTCAAGTCCTGGCAGCGCCGACAGGGGCGGGTGCAGGTGCAGGATATTTTTTTCGTGTGGCAGTAAGCACAGGCCCGGCGGGCGCGGCGGACAATGATGGGGCGGGACGCCGCGGTGCCGGTGGAGGCGACCGAGGAGGTGGAAGAGGTGCAGGTGGAGGACAGCGGGTACTTCCCCTGCAAGAAGCCTTGCAACATGGAACGGGCTGCGGCCAACGTCGCAGGCGTGGCGAAGGACAAGGAGGCAGGCGGGAGCGTCCCTGGAGCCACGACAGTGCTGGCTTGAGGGGAGGAGAGGAAGGGAGGGGGAGGCTCACGCAGAGTTGCCGATATGGGCCGCTTCACCACGTCCGCGTTCAAGCAGAGGAGAGCCCCGTCGTCGCGGCCCGGCTGGGTGGTGAGGTACCTTCCTCCCTGCCCTCCTCCTCCACCACCACTGCCTTGGGACCCTCCGCTCTGGCTGGAGGAGGGGGAGGGATGGAAGGAGGAGGACGGGGGAATGGAGGAGTAGTGGGAGGAGGCGCCCGACGACGAGAGGGAGGAGATGACGGAGGAGCCGCTCCAGGTCCCGCTGGGTGGAGATGGGAGTGGGGTGGGTAACGGGAGAGGGAGG